GTGTGGCAGGTCATTAATAGACCGTATCAAATATGGGCCGGCATTTGGCCCAAAACATGGCAGCCAGTTAACGGGCCGGCCTACTAGGGTCCTCAAAATCTTGTGGGCCTACAGCTGGGCCGGCCCATTAATGTTAGAGAAATCTCGTGGGCCTTTAGCTGGGCCGGCCCATTATGATCCGCAAGAATTTTGTGGGCCTTTACCTGGGCCGGCCTATTATGGCACACAAAAATCTTGTGGGCCTTTACCTGGGTCGGCCCATTATGGCCCGCGAAATATTGTGGGCCTTTAGCTGGGCCAGCCCATTATGGTCCGCAAAATATCGTGAGCCTTTAGGTGGGCCGGCCCATTATGGTCTGCAAAATCTTGTGGGCCTTTAGTTGGGCCGGCCCATTTAAACTTGTTGAGCCGTGCCACGTGTTGACGTATCATAGGCGCCTTCTGTCTAGTGAGTGGATGACATATGTCCCGAAGATGAGGCGACACGTGTTTCCTCTAGCCAATGATGATTTTACACGTGGAAAATCCCCATTGGTCGGGGTTGTTAACGGGTTATCGGATCCAAAACCCGACCCGATAGCTTAATGGTGTTCCGTTACGGTGGATGCCATGTGTCGGTCACCCTTGACGAAAGCACTTCTGTGACGTGTGATTTATCGTCATGGAAGTGGATACTTCCGTGATGATAATTTTGGTAATGTCATGGAACACTTCTACGACAGCACAGGTATGACTATCTTGATTTCGTCATAAATTTGTCATGGATGTACATGCATGACAAAAAAAGCGACCTACTGTGACAAACACGTATCATCACGGAAGTGTATTTTTTGTTGTAGTGAAGAGATGAACTAGGGTTTGAGATGAGATGGTGCTGGTGAAGATTTTGATGGATATTGACCCCCTCCCGATGAGAGGATCGTTGGTGATGACGATGGTGATGATTTCCCCCTCCCGGAGGGAAGTTTCCCCGGCAGAACAGCTCCGCTGGAGCCCTAGATTGGTTCCGCCAAGGTTCCGCCTCGTGGCGTTGGAGTCTCATCCCGAAAGCTTGCTTATGATTTTTTCTCGGACGAAAGACCTCATATAGCAGAAGATGGGCATCGGAGGGCCACCATGGGGCCCACGAGGCAGGGGGCGCGCCCAGGGGGTAGGGAGCGCCCCCCACCCTCGTGGCTAGGGTGTGGGCCCCCTCTGGTATTTTCTTCGCTCGGTATTTTTTATTATTTCCAAAAGTAACTTCTGTGGAGTTTCAGGACTTTTGGAGTTGTGCAGAATAGGTCTCTAATATTTGCTCCTTTTCCAGCCGAGAATTCCAGCTGTCGGCATTCTCCCTCTTTATGTAAACCTTGTAAAATAAGAGAGAATAGGCATAAGTATTGTGACATAATGTGTAATAACAGCCCATAATGCAATTCGATATAAAAGCATGATGCAAAATGGACGTATCAACTCCCCCAAGCTTAGACCTTGCTTGTCCTCAAGCGAAAGCCGAAATCGAAAAATATGTCCACATGTTTAGAGATAGAGGTGTCGATAAAAATAAAATACGGACATGAGGGCATCATGATCATTCTTAGAACAACAATATATATATATATACTAGCAAACATGCCCGTGCGTTGCAACGGGAGAAAAAAAGGTTGATGTGCTTCGCTGTAAAGCAAATGTTAATTATCATTAATCAGGCCAGACAGATGGATGATAAGTTTGATGATAACAAAAATGACGAATCAATTAACAATAGGAATCCTTGGGCCACTAGTTCGAAACTTGGGAAGTGGATCCTAGTCAACTAATGGGATGAACAACCTTATCTTTAGATTACCGTAATGGTAAAAAAATACCAAACACGCAATGCTTCTTTTGAGTTACATCGGATAATAAAAATATAGTATACTTCGTCCGACATCCAGGCATGCATGGTGTGTTAACCGCGATGTCCTGTCGTATGGACATTCTAACTTCTTGTTTTACTTAGTCTGTTGTACCTCAATTAAGGACTAATCATAATTTCCTCTTTTCTAGCTTTATTGAAAGTGCAAGCATATAAGCCTTTGTCGTGTGTCCTATAAGCCTTTGTCAAACATTGTCTAATCCTTATCCATGTATATATGATGTTTGTTTCCTTCTTAGTTTTCGCCTCCACATAGTCGGTATGAGTCCGTGAGGGAGAAAACAGGATATTTTTTCACGAATAAGACATAAACAAAGTTAATTTAAACCTTAAAATAAAAACATGTAGCATAGAATCAAATTCGGTAAGAGAATAGACACATCTGTGCGCTAACACATCTCAGAGAGATTTGGTGACACCCTCGCTAGCTAACACGTCTAATAAGTGTTGAAAACTCAACACGTGTGCACGCTAGCTAACATGTGGGCTGTTTTTTTAGAAGTAACACGTCGGCTTTGGTAGTAGAAATCAGCGCCCTCGTTGACGCTCCACGCCCCACAACGTCGCAAAATGAATAAGTACAAAATGATTTTGCAATGGAAGGAAAAGGCACTTGATTTTACTGTTTCATATATTCTTTGTTTAGTACTTCAGTTACCCTTCTTTCGTGTACCGACCCCAATGCCAGGGCAGGAGGCCGGAGAGGCTTGCCGCAAGCCCACACCTGACACGACGAAACCTACTCCCAGCAATTCCGATCCACCACAGCCTCTCATCCTGCAACGCGAAGATGCTCCCTTATGGTGTAACTGTGGAATGGTATCTGCTTGTTACTTCAATTAGTAAAAAAACAAGTATGCAATGTTGTCAACTTGTTGACGACTTTGTTCTAGGTTCTTGACATTAGCTCGTCATGCCTTGTGTGACACTCATGTGTGAAAATATTCAGTTTTATCGCCATGGAAGAAACAAAAAGATGGAATTCTTTTTCTTTATAAACTACATTTAGCACAAGAGTACCAATAATTGCAAGGTGCTTCATCCATACTGTACACAGGGGTTCTAGTGAAATTAATTGGTCAAAGTACAAAGTACTTTTACGAACTAAAAGATGCACTTATATGGACAATATGAATGTATTAGGAGAATAAAGATTCTGACAATGAACTATGGAGAAAAACAATGATGTGAAAACAACAATTTTTCCGCTAGATCCATAACTGTAGAAAAACATCCAATTGATTGTATCAATACTTCAATTAACTAACTGGGAAGTAGTATTACTTTAGAACAACATATATTCAAGATGATATCCTATACAAACATTTTTGTGACCAAAACCAAAAAAGTGTCAACATTTCCCAGATCCATAAACATAAGAACATAGTGGACTGATACCCACACACCTAATAATTTCCTGCACTTTAGTGTGGCATTTGCAAGATATTCGGTAGAAAGGATCATAAAGAGAGCTTAGCCATTCCACCTCTAGACAGTACAATAAGGTCTTTAGCTTTAACTTAATAACCGAACTGCAAGTGAGAACATGATACTCCTGATAATAGAAGAACATGCAACCTATTTGTCTAGAACCAAGATAGAATTGTCACGGTGTACCGTGTACGCCAAAAGCTAGAGCTGGTGAGTGAAGAAAACCAGTAGGCGGCTATGATCAATGTCACTAAATTAAATAGTCCAAATCTTTGTTGTAGGTCCAAGTGGTGTCCAAAGCCTTTGAGAATCTGCAGTTGAGACTTGAGAATATACAACAAGAAGACACAGGTGCATGATACACCCAGGAAGAATTCAGCTTCAGAGTGGCGCACTACAAACTGGGTACACAGGAAGAATTCAGCTTTAGAGGGGCACACTACAAACTGGGTTCACAAAAGACATGGAAGGTAGCTATATACTATAGTGGAAGCTACATCCAGGAAAAGAAAGTAGTATTCAGATTCAGATTGTCAAGGAAGAAAGGAAGACATAAACATTTGATGAAGATGCAATTTCTTGGTAGAAAGCAGGCACCTCCGCTTTGATCCTACGTGATTTCATCGCCAAAATGCATTCAATCTCACTTCACAATCACTATAAGCTGAGCTTGACTTGCAAACACACATTGATCTAGTTCCTAGTAGTTGTTTGTTTTGGTAAGATCTCCATAATCCGTCTTTAACCACCAATATTTTACTTGAGTATATTTATTGAAATGTCATAAAACTATATATTGTGAAATCATGTTGAAGATAAAAGTTCGTATAGGATTTTTAAGTATCCAATCTTAATATCTTTATAGGTATACTGGTAGGTCAAATTTCATCCATACTATACAAACAAGAGGACTACTAAAATCAATTGGCCAAAGTACATCTGCACTTTATAAAATGGAGAGTATGACTATATTAGGAGAATAAAGATGTAGACACTGAACTATGGAGAAAAACAATCTTGACTAAATATGAAGAACTATTTGTGTGGACAAATACGGTGGAATTCTGTACAGCAAACCAAGTTTGACTCAAATCAAGTGCTTGGATGTATCACTCTTGCATATTTTCACTCTCCTGCTCAAACATTAGCCTTACATATTCTCTCCAACCAAAAAAAAATTAGGAAATAATTAGTCACTAACAATATACTGAAAATTGACAATAAAACAATCTTTTTCATATGTCATAATCACGCATTCCTACTGCTATTATAGGTGTCAATATATATGAAACAAATGTATGGTGAGCTGAAGGTACATTTACTATGATAAACTTTTAAGAGTAAAGGATTTAAAGAATCATTATCATTTTCTAATTAATCTGACGCAATGAAATTTCCTCTGCTTAAGTAGAACAAATGACAAAGAATGTTCAGCATAATGGAAAGGCACTCACATCAGCAACACTGATTTTATCTGGTCTGAAGACATAATCTTCCGAATCAACTCAAATCAGCAGCACTGATTTTATCCGGTCTAGAGAAATAATCTACCAAATCAACTAACATATTAAAGCTCCCTTTATCAAAAGAAAATCAACTCAGATCGGCAGCACTGATTTTATCTGGTCAGGATATATAATCTTCCAAATCATCCTCGACACCCAAGTTCATCTTAATTAACAGTACAAACCTGAAAGAAAGGAGGTCATCCTAATTATCAGATGCAGACAAAACATAATCTCAAAGAAGATGAAGAAACTAAGATTTCAATTGACCGCAACCACCACGATGCTCCTGCTTGCTGGAGTGGTGGAGGTCCAATCCCGTCGAAGGCGTGGTGGCGGTGGCCCATGACAAGCAGTCGGTGGGCTCTGTCCTTGGTGCAGCGCATAGCTCAACCTCTCAACGCCCAAGATCCTCCTGAGGAGAGCCGCCATCGCCGTCATGCGCCACGTCTCCTGCCGGAGCCGTTCGCCTGCGTCCGCGAGTGTGCGCATGTACCCGCGACCCCGCCGCTCTCTCCTTTTCCTACTTAACTCCCATGGCGCTCGAGCTCCGCCGTGAGCTCCTCGCGTCGCCAGCCGACGGATCCCCCCCCTCGCTGGATCCGGTCCGCCACGAGCCCGAAGCCGCCCTTCCTCCGCACACCTTCTCCGCCTCGCCGCATCTCCACCTTAGTTCCTCATCTCCATGGATCCCCTTTTCCCTGGTACACGGGAGCTGGAGGTTAGCAATTGAAACGTACAGGCACAGGAGAACCAAACGTTTTCTGAGATGCCCACTTAAAAAGAATGACTGCGAGCTGAATAGCAAAAACCACAGGGATATTTTTGCAAAAACGCCGCGACGGTGAACCCGGAGACTCAATATGTGCTTTATTATTAGGGAGATATATATATAATCATATGATCTCTTATGCTAAAGTAACAATTCAATCACAATTTCAAGTATGAATCATAAACTTCGTTGAGAACCAACAAACTCTAATCTCAGTCATTGAGGCAATTGCAATTTATCATAACATAGGAAAGAGTCAATATAAGAGCTTTTCAGCAAGTCCACATACTCAACTATCATTTAGTCTTTCACAATTGCTAACACTCATGCAATATTTATGGGTATGGCGTTTTAATCGGACACAGAGAAAGATAGGGGCTTATAGTTTTGCCTCCCAATGTTTTACCTCAAGGGTAATGTCAACCATAATAGTTCATGAAAACTCACATCCAATTAGCTATATATATCTGGATCTTTCCAACACATTGTGCTTGCCAAAGGATAAAATGTAAAAGGAAAGGTGAAGATCACCATGACTCTTATATAAGGTAGAAGATAAAAGTAAAAAAGATAGGCCCTTCGTAGAGGGAAGCAGAGGTTGTCATGCGCTTTTATGGTTGGATGCACAAAATCTTAATGCAAAAGATCGTCACTTTATATTGCCACTTGTGATATGGACCTTTATTATGCAGTCCGTTGCTTTTATTTCTTCCACGTCACAAGATTGTATAAAGCTTATTTTCTCCACGTTAATAAGTCATACATATTTAGAGAGCAATTTTTATTGCTTGCACCAATGACAACTTACTTGAAGGATCTTACTCAGTCCATAGGTAGGTGTGGTGGACTCTCGTGGCAAAAACGGGTTTAGGGATATTTGGAAGCACAAGTAGTATCTCTACTTCGTGCAAAGAAATTGGCTAGCATGAGAGGGAAAGGCAAGCTCAACATGTTGGATGATCCATGATATAATTTATCTCAGATGTAAGAAAACATAACCCATTACGTTGTCTTCCTTGTCCAACGTCAACTCTTAGCATGTCATACTTTAATGAGTGCTCACAATCATAAAAGATGTCCAAGATAGTATATTTATATGTGAACCTCTCTTTCTTTATTACTTCCTATTAATTGCAACGATGACCAAAACTATGTCAACTCTCAACAACTTTTATTCATCATACTCTTTATATGTGTGCTCATTACTCTCCATAAGATCCATATGATCTCTTTATTTATTTTTATTTCTTCTCTTTTATTTTATTTAATTCCCTCAAGATCATAGCAAAATAATCAAGCCCTTGACTCAACACTAATCTTTATTATATATAGCTCACGGACTCGGTTGCATAGAAGGATCATAAAGCAAAACTCACAACTAGATCATACTAAACCTTTATTCTACTAGTTCAAGATATTATCAAAAGGATCAAACTAAGAAAAATGGTAGAGATAAAAGTGATGGTGATATGATACCGGGGCACTCCCCCAAGCTTGGCAGTTGCCAAGGGGAGTGCCCATACCAGATACCCAGTTCTTCTTTGTTGGTGAAGAAGGTGGAGTTGTTGATGATGTAGGCTTGTCGTCCCTCTTCCAAGGCATAGGCTCACCATCGTAGAAGGATGATCGAGTCTCCTGAATCCTCAAATCTGCAGACAAACTCATCCTCTTAAATCTATATTCATACTCACAGTTTTGATTTTGCGGGTCATAGATCTGGGCTTGGAGGTGCTCGATTTTCTCATGAAGCTTGAAGATGGCCTCCCCAATGTCCTTGACGTCCAGCTTGTGGTTGTTGGTGAACTCCGTGATCATAATGTGATTGGAGTCGAGTCCACACTCCACCATCTCCTGACACTTGAAAACTTGTTGCTCCAATGCCTCGAGCCTTGCCTCTGTGCTTCTGGTCCTCCTTGGTCCCTCTACATCGCGGATGTGCAACAACCCCTCACGCATCTCAATGGTTTGAGGGTGTTGCAGCACCTCCGCGAGGTAGGGGTTGATGACCTTCTTGAAGAACTTGTCCTTGGGGGCACTTGAAGACGACATGACGACCTAGATCTATCAGAAAAACAGCTCGAAACAAAGACAAGAGATATTTGCGTGATACGGTGGTCAAAACCTTCGGGAGATTATATAATGAATTTTTACCGACCAAAAGAAGTATCGTGCAAGAAAATGGAGTTTGGAAAGCACACGAGGTGCCCACGAGGTAGGGGGCGCGCCCTCCACCCTCGTGGAAGCCTCGTGTCCTTTCCGGTCTGCTTCTTGTTTTCCTATTTTCTTAAATATTCCAAAACGAATAAATATTGCCATTAGAACTGTTTTGGAGTCGGTTTACTTACCGTACCACGTACCTATTCCTTTTTGGAGTCTAAAACATTCTAAAAAGTGTCCCTTATGTATTCCTCCGGGGTTACAGTTTCAATAATATTATTTTCAACATTTATGGGATTACCTGAGATATAATGTTTGATTCTTTGACCGTTCACTGATGTCTACTACACAACCTTCTTCTTGTAGGCGTTATTGAGCCTCCAAGTGCAGAGGTTTGTAGGACAGTAGCAAATTTCCCTCAAGTGGATGACCTAAGGTTTATCAATCCGTGGGAGGCGTAGGATGAAGATGGTCTCTCTCAAACAACCTTGCAACCAAATAACAAAGAGTCTCTTGTGTCCCCAACACACCCAATACAATGCTAAATTGTATAGGTGCACTAGTTCGGCGAAGAGACAGTGATACAAGTGGTATATGGATAGTAGATAATGGTTTTTGTAATCTGAAAATATAAAAAAAGCAAGGTAAATAATGGTAAAAGTGAGCACAAACGGTATTGCAATGCTACGAAACAAGGCCTAGGGTTCATACTTTCACTAGTGCAACTTCTCTCAACAATAATATCATAATTGGATCACATAACTATCCCTCAACATGCAACAAAGAGTCACTCCAAAGTCACTAATAGCGGAGAACAAACGAAGAGATTATGGTAGGGTACAAGACCACCTCAAAGTTACTCTTTCCTATCAATCAGTTGGGCTATTCCTATAAGTGTCACAAACAACCCTAGAGTTCGTACTAGAATAACACCTTAAGACACAAATCAACCAAACCCCTAATGTCACCTAGATACTCCAATGTCACCTCAAGTATCCGTGGGTATGATTATATGATATGCATCACACAATCTCAGATTCATCTATTCAACCAACACATAGAACCTCAAAGAGTGCCCCAAAGTTTCTACCGGAGAGTCAAGACGAAAATGTGTGCCAACCCCTATGCATAGATTCCCAAGGTCAGGGAACCCGCAAGTTGATCACCAAAACATACATCAAGTGGATCGTAGAATACCCCATTGTCACCACAGGTATCCCACGCAAGACATACATCAAGTGTTCTCAAATCCTTAAAGACTCAATCCGATAAGATAACTTCAAAGGGAAAACTCAATCCATTACAAGAGAGTAGAGGGGGAGAAACATCATAAGATCCAACTATAATAGCAAAGCTCGCGATACATCAAGATCGTACCACCTCAAGAACACGAGAGAGAGAGAGAGAGAGAGAGAGATCAAACGCATAGCTACTAGTACATACCCTCAGCCCCGAGGGAGAACTACTCCCTCCTCGTCATGGAGAGCACGGGGATGATGAAGATGGCCACCGGAGAGGGATTTCCCCCTCCGGCAGGGTGCCGGAATGGGTCTATATTGGTTTTCGGTCGCTACGAAGGCTTCTGGCGGCGGAACTCCCGATCTATTGTGTTCCCCAAAGTTTTTAGGGTATATGGGTATATATGGGAGGAAGAAGTACGTCGGTGGACCTCCGGGCTGTCCACGAGGCAGGGGGCGCGCCCAGGGGGGTGGGCGCGCACCCCACCCTCGTGGGCAGCCCGGGACTCTCTTGGTCCAACTCCAATACTCCGTGGGCTTCTTCTGGTCCAAAAATAAGTTCCATGAAGTTTCAGGTCAATTGGACTCCGTTTAATTTTCCTTTTCTGCGATACTCTCACACAAGGAAAAACAGAAACTGGCATTGGGCTCTAGATTAATAGGTTAGTCCCAAAAATAATATAAAAGTGCATAATAAAGCCCATAAACATCCAAAACAGATAATATAATAGCATGGAATTATAGATACGTTGGAGACGTATCAGCATCCCCAAGCTTAATTCCTGCTCGTCCTCGAGTAGGTAAATGATAAAACAGAATTTTTGATGTGGGATGCTACCTAACATATTTCTCTAAGTAATTCTCTTCATTTTTGCATCAATGTTCAGATCCATAAGATTCAAGACAAAAGTTTAATGTTGACATAAAAATAATAATACTTCAAGCATACTAACTAAGCAATCATGTCTTCTCAAAATAACATGGCCAAAGAAAGTTCATCCCTACAAAATCATATAGTTTGGTCATGCTCCATACACAAGAATGCTCTCATCATGCACAACCCCGATGGCAAGCCAAGCAATTGTTTCATACTTTAGTAATCTCAAACCTTTTTCAACTTTCATGCAATACATGAGTGTGAGCCATGTATATAGCACTGTGGGTGGAATAGAATATAATGATGGGGTTATGTGGAGAAGACAAAAAGGAGAAAGTCTCACATCGACGCGGCTAATCAATGGGCTAGGGAGATTCCCATCAATTGATGTCAATGCAAGGAGTAGGGATTTCCATGCAACGGATGCAGTAGAGCTATAAATGTATGA